ATGAGAAAATGTTTTATTTCATCACACTTCTAAAAAGATCTGCAAAAACGCCTTCAAAACTCTGAAGCAAGGTTTGATGTTTGTGGATGATTATTTCAAGGCTATGGATATGGCTATGATCCAAGCTAATTGTAATGAGGACGAAGAGGCCACTATGGCAAGATTTCTTAATGGTTTAAATAGAGAAATAGTTGATGTAGTAGAATTACAACAATATGTGAATTTAAATGAATTGATTGAGTTGGCTATAAAAGTAGAAAAACAAAATAAAATGAAGCAACAAGCTAGTTCATGGAAGAATCGATCTACTACAACTCTAAGGAAGCCATGGCCAACACATGAGGAAAAATTTATGCCTAAATCACAAGATGACATGGGGAAAGGTAAATGGGAGGCCAAAGATGGAGGTAAGACTTTTAACACGAAAATTTATACTCCTTCTAGTGCTATACAATGTCACAATTGTCAAGGGAGGGGACATAAGACGTTTGTATGTCCAAATAGAAGATTTGTCTTAATTAAGGATAATGGGGAATATGAAAGTGAAAAAAGTGAGGGGAAAGAAGAAGAAAAGGGTGTTAGGGGTGAGGACGAAAGAGATGTGGCTCCTCATAACGAGAGACAATTTTTGGGGGTAGTTAGGCGTCTTATGAATATTAATATGGGAGAGCTTGATGAAGCACAAAAGGAAAATATTTTTCATACACGATGTGGGATAAAAGGTAGAATTTGCTCTATGATCATTGATAATGGTAGTTGTGCTAATGTGGTGAGTACATATGCGGTAGAGAAATTGGGGAGTCCATGCATGAAACGTAAGGCCAATTACAACCTTCAATGGTTGAATGAATGTGGAGAGCTTAAGGTGAGTAAACAATGCATGACTTCCTTTTCTATTGGAGAGTATTATGATGAAGTTCTTTATGATGTTGTGTCAATGCAAGTTTGTCATATTTTGTTGGGCCGACCCTGACAATATGATAGATATGTTTCCCATGATGGGAAAAGGAATAAGTACTCTCTTGAACATAAGGGGGAAAAGTATATTCTTGCACCATTAACTCTTTCTCAAGTGTATGAAGACCAACAACAACTAAAAGAAACAATGGGAAAACATGGGGAGGGATAAAAAAAGAGTCAAAAAATTGAGAGAGGAAAAAATTCAAGTAAGGTGTGAGAAGAAGGAGAGCAACAATGAGGAAAAGGAAAAGGTGGGAATGAGTGATAAAAAAAAAGAGAATTCGTGAGAGAAAAGAGGCTAAGGGTGAAAAAATAGTGAGTCTTGCAAAAGCCAAAGAGTGTTTACTTACAAAAATAGAGGAGCTACCCATTGTTCTTCTCACTTATAGGGATGTTATGATTAACACTAACGATTTAACTCCTTCTTTGCCTAATGTTGTATCAACTCTTTTGCAGGATTTTGACGATGTATTTCCTCTAGATATCCCTAAGGGATTACCTCCTTTGAGAGGAATAGAACGTCAAATTGATTTTGTTCCTGGATCTCAACTTCCAAATAGGCTCGCTTATAGAAGCAACCCAAATGAAACAAGAGAACTACAAAGGCAAGTAGAGGAATTGCTTGAAAAGGGGTTTGTGAGAGAAAACATGAGCCCATGTTCTGTCCCTATGCTCTTGGTATCTTTGGTGAGATTAATTCTTTAACTTGATATCTTTGGTTCTTATTCGTAAATTAAAAAAGGTGATTAGTCTTATACTAATTATTGTCTCTAGTTTCTTCGTAATAGGGGTCTAGATTACTTTTGATCTAAGTTCTTGAATTGACTTTATTTAGTATAATAGATTTGGAATGCATGAACATGTATTGTCATCTAATTTATTTTCAGTGAATGTTTTATTATGTATTCAAATTGCTATAATAGCTCAATCTATATGTCAATGCTACTTGTAGACGTCTGCGGAGCTAAAAGGGATCAAAGGAATGTGGTCTCTTCATTTAGTTACTGATGATTCATGTGAAGTCTTGGTTTTTAGTTTAACTAATGAGAAGACATGGTTTTTAAAAATTGAGTCGGATGATGCTTCATTAAAAACCTGGAATCTAGTTAATGATTCGATAAAGGGTTTCAATTCTGAAGTCAATACCCTGGTTTGTCATCATGCTGAATACGGTCAGCTTGTACAGGTATGGCTAAGTGCAAAATGTCATTACTGTCTTTTATTAACCATCTCCGACAAGCATATTCTGCCTGAAATCTATTAAATATTATATGTATTTAATGGACAGTTGCGCATAAATTTCCATGTAGGTTACTCTAACGTCAATTAGATTGGTGAGTTCTATCTCGAAAAGTTTGGATACTGAATGGCTCTCTCGAAGCCCGTTGACTGTTGCAGCTGCCAGCCTCACTCAGGTTTTACCTCTTGCATTTATCTATGGCTTCATGATAGCTCAAGACGTGCAACAACCTGGTTTTGCTTAAAGGTAGAACAAATATTGAATAGCTATAGCCTATATGTATCATGGTCATGCAGCTCTCTGCAAAAAGAAAAAAACGATAATGATGGATATTAGTCATTGTTGCATGCTTATGGTGATTTGGACTATGATGCATTTTATCCTATTTTTATTGGTAGCATTGTGTCTTGACTTAAACTTCACTTGTGGTACTCTATTGAAAATTTTAATATATTATCCATTGTCAACAGCTTTGCAATTGCTGAAGGATAAAGGAGATCAGTTGGCAATATGCAATATTGATGAAAGACAAAAGCTTCACATCATTCATTCAGAACACCTTGGGGAGCGTGTTGTCACAGACTTCTCATTCATTATTCTTGCAAGGTCTTGTAAGCTTAAGTAAGCCCTTTGAAGCTAGACCACTAAGAGAATTCAAAGAAAGACTTAGAGAATTTTGGAAGAAGGTTTTATATTGCTTGGAAGATTGCTTACAACTTTCTTGGATGATTTACAAATGAGAGGCCCTTCTATTTATACTATTTCCTAAGGGCCTAAGTGCAAATAAAAATTATTTTACAAGTCCCTCTAGTAATTACACTTTGATCCCTCTGTAGAACTCTCTACATATTCTAGGATATTCCAAAGTATTCTTAAAATATCTAAAGTTTCTAGAGTCTTCTAAGGAAATTCTCTAGGAAGTTCTAGAATGTTCTACTAACCTCTCCACAACTCTAGATTCTTCTCCCTTATTCCGATGCCGAATTTAAACTGTGAAGTGACGGGACATGACAGTGCGCTCCACATCAGTCATCAAGAGCAGTCCCACACCATTGCCATATGCACCGTAAAGTGTGAAGACAAAGATGACATGGTCTCGCTTGTCAACTATTTGATGACCAAACATGTCATAGGAAATGGACTTACAAGCTTAAAGAATTTGAGCATAGTTGCTCCCTGATTAGCTGTTCATTTTCCGAGGACGATAATGTGTATTATTGGGTTGGGACTGCTTATTTGAAGCTGGACGCAAATGAATGTACCAAGGTAAGTCAAGTTATTGTAATAATCCTTTGATAGAGGTGGAAGTTGTGGTTCTAAACTATTTTCACACGTAGTGACTTTTAATTCATGAGTAATTTGCAGGGCCGAATATTAGTTTTACAAGTTGTACAGGGTAGCGAACTCCATCTAAGTTGCAGAGATGGAAACTGATGGAGCTGTCTACTGCCTGAATGCCTTCACTGGTAAACTTCTTGCTGCGATCAATCAGAATATCAAGTTGTACAAGTGGGCATCCCTTAAGAATTGCCGAGGCCGAGAATTGAAGCGTGTATGTCTATTTCGGGGTAGTGTCCTGTCTCGTTTTATTCAAACGCATGGTGATGCGATTGTTGTTGGTGATGCGATGAGGTCTATATCTCTCCTGCGTTTGAAGGTACTCGTTGTAACTATATATCTTAAAAAATAAGATAATAGCAATGTTGATTAAAGAAGTTTGAAACCGTAACCTTCACATAGTTCTTCAGCATAAAACCATCTAGACTACGTGCATTCTTTGTTTAAGCAGTATCACTTATAATATATAACCGTTATATCTGCTTTTATTTCTTAATTGTATATACCTTTTAGTAAAAAAATTCGAGAAGCAGTATCACGTGACACTCCTTCTACCTTCGTAAATCCGCCCCCGAAAGAAGTGTCACATCTTCTCTGTATTCAACTTTATATATATAGAGAGAGAGAGTCTGAGGTATTATGCTATATGTTTCCTTAGGCCTCAAGCTTTGAAAATTCTTGTTATCCGGAAAATTCTCTCCCTTTTGACGTATAAAACGACTTGCACAAATTTTTAAACAATAAGAATGACACAAACCAGCATTGCAATTTTATGAGACATAAAAAGCGTTGACGGATAATCTGTCATCAAACATATCACTCAAACTCTCAGTGCACTTCTGTTGTAGGAGTAACTCGATTGGCTGATCTTAAAAGAACAATTTTTTAAAAATAGTTTTTTAAAAAGTCAAAGTTTAGTAACTTATAAGTTAAAATGAAAAGTAGGGACAATTCACTTTTAATTTTAAGTTTATTTTAAGTTATTTTTTTAACTTTGTCAAACACTTTCAAAAGTTATAAATGACTTAAAAGTAAGTTTGACCAACTTTTACGTCAATCCAAACAGACTCTAAAATTTGTTAAGTCAACCTAAATAAAAATCATAAACTACTACTACAAAAAAAAAAAAAAAAAAAAAAACTCTTACTAAATTTGCACCGTAATTATCAGATTCTCATTTGTTTATGATAAAATGATGAAGCTAAACTCTGGAATCCATGGATAACTCGCAAAGAGTTCAACCCGCTTCGCTCCGCATAACAAAAAAGTCCCTTTTGAATCTGCCCCACATCTATCTTTTTCATTTTCCCACAAAGCAGTATTAATTTGCAGTGTAAGTTAAACACTTCGGCAATTGCAACTAACGGATGAAATTTGACTGTATATTGCTATTAGTTCTTGACATTTATATAGTGGACATTTATTACTAGGAAAAAAAAAAGGAATAAATTTTATAAAACGGTTTTTCAATTGATTACCAGAAAATGATCTCCAATGTCAAGTTCCGACAGCGCTTCCATCATTCAATGTGGCTAAGCTGCTGCGTGGATTTTACCATCTGAACATAGCAGCCGACTATCTGTTGGTCTAACTTGTAGTAGTACTCCATCCTCTCCAAAGGTTTCAAATCCAGGTCAATGAAATATGCCTATTGAAGAGCAGCAAACAAAAAGCTCTAAGTAAGCTTAAAAAAAGCTATAGTGCCTTATATTTCATTAATTGGCAATCACAGTTTTTTCACATTGTCCACATAATGTTGTGTGTTTATTTTTATATTTCTGCATTAGTACGGAACTCAACTGTGCTTTGCACTTTAAGTTTCACCCAAGGTCATATATTTTTCTATGTATTTCAGCTTTGAAAACACGTATTACAACAGACTAACAATTTAAAAAACAAATTAGACAAATCAACAGAGGTGTGCACACAACAATCTGCAGGTACAACAAGTTTACTGCCTCCATAAGTTCACATATCTTCTTTTACATAGGATAAAACACTACTTCAATGAAAAGGAGATTAGATAGAGATATTTTTCATTGTGAAATATATTATTCAAGAACCCGAAAGGAGTTGGAAAAAGGGGAAAAGGGAATAATACCTTATAATCAAAACTTTGGTTGGTTGATTCTAAGGAAACCATGCTATATGGAGATTCCACACTCCCATCTTCCCGAGGTCTAAAACTAATCATCATGCTCAGGTCCTTTGCAGTTGCAGCAATCAAGTAATTCCTCACAATCTTCATGCTTTCATCGTTCGAGATTGAATGCAAAGAACTGTATCTTTCTGACAATTGATCTTCAGCTGATCGTTTATTACATACCGCGCATGGTTGGGAAATGACATTGTAATATGCATGAATTGCACCTTCAATGTCAGCATTGTCGAACTTCTGGACTTCAAGAACCTTGTTTAGCAGTCCTGAACTAAAAATGGTCTTGGAAACAAGATCTAGGAAGCATTGGGTCCGCTGGCCATCCACAGCTTGAATTACACACTTCAGTGCATTTTCAAATGTTTCACCAACTTCACAGCTTGTAGCGTCTGCATTACCACCTAAACCCCCTAATATGAGAGAACCATTCAGGAAAACTCGGAAATTGTTTTGTGGGGTCTTGAAAAGGCCCTTTATTGCTTTGTGTACCCTATCACTGGATCCAGAAAACAAATCCAATGGATCATATGCACTTATCTCTGATATCTGATACAGCAGAAGCAACCCAAAGAAAATTTCAAAAAAAGGAGAAAATGATTAAGAAAAAAGAAAAAGATCCAACATAAGCATAAAGCTAATATCTGTACATAATAAAAGGTAAACGCTACTTTAACTTGACAGGGGAAAAGGGGGAAGTTTATCAAGTCCATGCTGCAACTGAATTAAGAAATCCACCAGACAGATAAAAAATCAATCACCTTTCCTTGGTGCAATTTTAAAGCCTGATGCATCTTGAAACGAGTTACACTCCTTTTAATACTGTTTTCTGATGCAATAAATTCCGAAAGCGGAAGAAATCCGCATTTAGGCTGGCTTCAGCAAAAGAAATGGAGACACTAATAAAAAAATTGTACTAAATAAACAAATTGTTAATTAAAAAAGATTAAAGTGAAACAGCATGAATATGATATTAATGAAGAAAAACCAAATAAAGCTATGAAAAAGCACCTTTATTTCTACAGATATACAGAAGTCCTTTTTAAGTGCACCTGAAAGGAGAAAACAGGAATAATGAAATAAGCCAATTCACCAAATCAAAATCCATATTGAGATTTTGTGCTAGGCCAATCAAAAGGCGAAACCATACAAAGTAAATTTTCCTTGTTTTTCTTTGTCAACAAATGGATCAAAACTGCAGTCAACCTTGTTGATAAGTAGCATACTTAGAATAGCTGTAATGTATCTAGACAAGCAGTCATTAAACATTACTCTTTTTACTCTCATACACACGGAGGTAATACCAGGGATATATTGAATCTCCTAAAACAGAGGTATAATGTGGAGGTTAATGCCTCAATTGCCTATTAGAAATACCGGACATGAGGCATTTATCATTGTTGTACACCCTTTATATTTTGGATCTCATTATTATCATTAGCTTGATATTAAAACTAGTCTAGCAATATAAATATACACGTTAAAACCTTGGTAAGAAGCAGGGGACAAAAAGGGTTCGTATATTACCACGCGGGAAAATCGAATGATCAGATATCAGCAGTACAGAATCACACAGGGGGTTGACCATTGCGGCATCAACACGCCAAGAAGGACGCTGAGATAGAACATTGTTATCAACTGTTTCCAGAAATTCTCGGGTCACAGGGATGTGAATCTGTCAAAATGGAAGAAAAAGATGGCAGTATTTAAGAATTTTGTTTCCATGTTGACAGCAAACCATATGCTAGGAATAACACAAATTTGCAATCTTTCATAACTTAAATCTAGAGGCCCATAGTTTAGCATAACTTGATCAATTAAGTTTTATCCTAGCAAACAGCAATGAACAAAAATTAGCCCTCTACAGAAGATCAACTGCATAAGAAATGTCCTAAAACATAAGGGTGAAACGTTAGGCTACATGAATATTGGTAATAAATTAGAACTTTTTGATGACAGGCAGAATGCCTAATTATTATTACTAGTCCACGTAGATTAAAGGTATCCAGAAAGGGAGAATAAGTAAATTATTTTTCTCCATTTGCAGAAAAGAAAAGATGATTTCAGGCAAACCAGATCTAATATGAAGTGATAAAAAATAGGTGTTATGTACAAGGCTAGCAACATACCCCTGCATCAACATTCTTTGAACCCAACAGCGAGCACATCACATGCTGCACAAAACAGTATTCAGCCATTTCTTTTGTAGGAGCTGATACCAGCTCTTTAAATTCTTTCCACATGAGGCATTCCAACTCGGTTAGACCTGGATGACCATTCTCGCATTGAGATCCATTCCTTGGTACCTTCTGTACCCGCAACACTTTTCCAACCTAGATAAAACGCAGGAGATGAGGATGCTACTGAGATATAAAAAAAACAAAAACAAATACTTTCTTTTGAACAAGTAACAATACTCCTCCCATTTCAATTTGGTTATCTTACGTTCCTTTTTAGTCCGTTTCAAAAAGAATATCTCTCCTTTATTGACATCTCTTTAATTCTAACTTTCCACGCGTAATGTTTAAAAGAACAAGATTAAAGAACATTTTGGTTCATTCTACATATCTAAGACCATAAGATTCAAAATTCTTCTTTACTTTGTTAAACTCCATGACAGTTTTCCCAAGTCAAAACCAATCAAACAAATTGAAACGGAGGGAGTAGCATGTTTTCCAGGTCAGATCTCTCTTTCTTCTGGTAGCATTTGAAAGCAAGAAAAGTCGAACTCATTCCTCCTCGGATTACTCTTACTATGCTATTGTTGAGGTCAATAACTTGTTAAAGAAACAGTGAATTCCAAGGAGGAATACAATGACATTTAGCACTCTTTTAGTAGGATCTTTTCGTTTAATTATTTAGACAACTTGAGAGCCAAATAGTCAACAACTCTTATTAGACACTCCATCATTAACTTCTTCGAGTCTGAAAACAACACCTTCATGAGATGATGCACCCCCAATGAATCAGATCATTATGCAGCTTATGTAAAGCACAATTCATTTCCAGTATCTTTTTTATTTAATCTTTCAATTCTTATTATCTCCTTTTCTGGTTCCAAGGGATCTAGCTAAGTGATTGAGGCATGAGAGATACAATCTGAAATGATCAGGAATACACTGAAAAACACGATACAACAACAACATACTCAGTATAGTCCCACAAGTGGGATCCACGCAGTATAGTCCCACAAGTGGGATCCACGGAGGGTAAAATGTTCCCAAACCTTACCCCTACCTTGTTAAGTAGAGAGACTGTTTCCGACAGACTCTCAACCCAAAATAAGCAAAAACACAATATTTACGGAGACATAAGCAGTAACAATAACCTAGATACTTTCCCTAAAAAAAGAAGAAGATGAAATTCCATATTCTTATCTACTAGAATCTTCTCTATTCCCTGAAATTGATCAAAAATAATTTCAATTCGTTCAACAATTCACCAAGACAAATTACAACTGTTCGAATATAAGTATAAGAAAGATAAAAATCATACAAAATCAGGATGTTCTCCACTATAAGCAAGCACTAGATTGACAGCTCCTTCTCCTCTATAACACCATTCTCGAGCATCATTCGCCTGCAAAACCATCGCCATCTGCTAATCCTGGTAATTAACAACAACAAATCACACAATTTGCAATTATAATTACTGATTCAGTGAGTTCGCAATCAACAAATCGCCATTAAACCTGAGTTATTCGAAGCTCTCTCAATTGTCACGTCGAGTCGGGTTTCGATACGCTACAGTTTAGCCTATATTATATAACATGTGCTCACTTATCTTCGAATCAGAACCTTTGAGGGTCCATCCCAAACTTATAAGTATTAAATTTTTATTTCTTCAATTAATATAATAAAAAATTAATTTCTACTTATTATAATATTTCATTAGGATATAAAGTGGAATGTATTTTTTAATAATTCAAATTCAATTTTTCATTTGTTGATGAAGATAGAGTTTTATTTACTGTATTAATGAAAATAAAAGGTGGATTAAAATATTGATATGAATAGAAAGTAAGTCTGAATTTGATGATAACAACGTTTGTTTGATAATTTTATTAGTAATCATGAAAATCGATATGTGTTTATTATAGATGATTTTTTATGTGATAATCGTAATTCGTGAAGTGACCGTTTTTATATTTTTAATTTATAGATTAACTTTTTTAAAGTTGAGTGATAATTCACTGATAGAGTTATTACATTATATCTTAATAGCGAAAAAATCATTCTTTATAAGACAGTTTCAAAATAAAAATAAAAATCTCCCTTAATTACCAAGCACCCCAAAACCAAAATAGTTTAAAGAATCTTAGCTATTCTTATATGATAGTAAATTAACATAAAATTACTTGATGATTCAAAAAATGGTCACTCTCATGAAATTTCTCGAATCAATTATAGAATATGAAATTTCACGATATGAACTTTCTTAAAAGTAAAACAAAAGATGATAAGAAAACAACACTATTTTTAGCATTGACTTACAAATAGTAGGAAACATGTTGGTAGAATCATATGCTAAAGACATATTTCCTTTTATTCTTTTCAACTTATGTCATGGACCATCCAATTTGCATTTGCAACTATTTTATTTTAGAAGAAAATTAAGCATAAGGCCGTACAAAAATATCATATATATAAACTTATAAGTATTTGGTTCGTATATAGGGCAGGTTAATATTCAGTTTAATTTGTATGGATCACCAATCAATTATAATAGTCTTGTAAAGCATCAATCCAAAAACGATTTTGGGGGATTTTTCATAAATATTGTATTTGCAAATACAGTAGCAAGATACATTTAATTCGTATGTATGCAATATCTAATTCTAATTACTTAAATCACACGAATATAGAATCTCATAATTATTTGTATATGTGAGTTTATTTTCAAAGCAGAAGTTGAATCTATAAGTATATACATGAAGACATCAATTGTATGTGTGGTCAACTGATTTCAGTTCATTGTACGTACGTGTGTATATATATATATATATATATATATATATATATATATCATAAATGTATTTTGTATATCTGCTATAAAAATACATAATATTGCTTTTATAAAAAAAAATACAACTACAAAAATAATAAGAGGAACAAAACGGCTACATTAGAGAATTTAAGTTCAAGAAAGAAATATTATCAACTTATCATAAGGTCAAACCACTTCTACATGAAAGAAAGAAAAAATGTGGTTTATACCTCCTAATCGAATATATTGGCCTATTGAAAAGTAGTAATTCTTTTCGAATGTTGTAAATACAATTTGGATGTGATGTGTCTTTCAACCTATGGTTGTTAACTCATCTTTTATTCTAGGAAATTTGATGCATAGTAAGCATGTGTAATACATCATTATATCTGAATCAATTTGAATATAATATCTTGAAAATAAAAATTCAAATTCAAATTCAAATAGTTATTGATTGAGATATATGAAACTTCAATCCTAATGTGAAACACAATGTTGGAATAGCCTTATTTTTAAGCCAATAAGTGACTTAACACGACATAAGAATATAATTATAAAGGTCTCTAATCGAATAGTTTTTCATTGACTCACACTATTCTATTTCAATATTTTATGTTACGGAGTGTCAATTGTCAAAAGAGTTGGATCCTAACATTCCATGTCTAATGGAATTTTGTGTCAAAATTCCAATTAGTCAAAATTTTGTGTTTACTTATTAGTAGAAAGCTCAATTTGAAATTATTCTTTTGATATTTTGTTTCTTTATTGGACTTGAAAATGCGGTGGTTGTTAAAGTCTTAAACTTTATAATGATATTTGCACCGACAAAAATTACACGTATATAATAACAATAATAAGTCAATAATTATATCTCAAGCTCAAGTATTATGTAGTCGTCTATATAAATTTTAACTACTTTTATTTAAATTCCTATCATATATTACTAAATAACAATATTAATTTTTTTTCTAACATGTCAAATATTTAGTATCCACGTTTTTGCAACACTTATTTTGGGTTCAATACTTCTCTCTTCTCATGTTACTATATTTGTAGCGCATGTATTCGGTTTTACTTATAGTTATCCTAATTAAGATTATTATTTTTTAAAGTGCTTCTTCATAGTTTAATCTTTTGATTGACACCTTCGCTAGTTTAATTAATTAAATCTATACAATATCTTAGAAAAACGACAAACCAATAGAACTCCATGATCTTGTGCTTTGTTCATTAATTCATCCATTTATAACAAGTATTAATTCATCCATTTATAACTAGTGTAAACAAGTAGAGACTCAATACAACGTCCTTCGTGGAATTCATATATTTAATATTATAACTTTTTTCAATATCAACAACCCAAAATTCTTACATAATACTTTTATCATGTGCTTCTTCATATCAATTACAAATACGCTGAGAAAATCTTTCTTCTTTAATTTCCACAATTACAAGAAATAAAATATCTGTAAATGTTTAGATGTGACGTTAACGTTACACAAAATAAAATATCATATAACACATCTTTAATCAAATGTAGGTTGTTAAAGTCAAATTCTTATTTTTCTCTAACGCAGGTGGCCATGTGATTTGGATTATTATTATTATAATTTTTTTCACTTCTTCCTCTTCTAAAAAATTAACTTGAGTACGCAACATCTCAACTATAAAAATATATTTATTTTTTTAAAAAAAAAATAGTGCATATTGATTATGGGGGGTAATTTTTTAAAAGTAATCAATAAGCTGTAATTTTTTCACCCTAAAACTTCATAACTTTATTTTATTTCACAACATTCACAATAATATCACGAAACTTGATCTAGTGCAAAACAAATTGTTCAAATAGCCGAGGAGTGACCTGATATGCTATGACATGACATAAGAATCCTAATATTCATTGTACAAAATTTTCATCAAAAGATTCATCATACATTGTATTATATATTAAAAATTGAGTTATATATATTTATAATTTTAAACCAATGAGAATTTGAATAAATCATTTTCCGTCCCTCTAGTTCCCCACTGTTTGGAGCTAGTAAATGTTTGTATTCCTTATTTACACTATTAACATGTCATATATAGATCACATAAAAATAATTTAATATATATACTGATTTTGTATTTATATTTTACTATACTTATATATTTAGCTTACTTGTCAAAAGTCAAAACGTTTAATTTATTTCTAAAATGCAAGACACAAGTCAGTCCACAAAAGCATGTACACGTAGTATTTAATTTATTGTCTCTTCTAATTTAGAAAGAAGTCATTTTTTTCTTACGTTTACGTCAATTAAAAGTCTAATTCATTTAAAATGGACTTCACGTGGATTATTTTAACTTTTTTCAACTTCTAGCCAGTAGCATAGTACAATAATATAATGTATGACCAAGAAAATTCAGGCCACATTCTTATAACTTTTCGACATAGATAAAATAAACACATAACAAGTATCAACTCTCAAAAAAAATTGAAATTAGCTATGAATTTTATTGACCGAGAATATTCAGGCCACATTCTTTAAACTTTTTGACATAGAAAATGAAACACGTAACAAGTATTCAATTATGATTGTACTATTCAAGTGTTTGTGTGAATCACCTTCGTCTTGGAAGAACTTTTAACAAGAAAGTGATGAAGGAAAAACCCTTAAAAATCTTCTAACCTTGTGGGATGTTGATGGAGTCATATGCATACAGTAAAACCTTTCTAAATTAATATAAGTGGGATCATAAAATATTATTATTTTATAGAGATATTATTTAATCAATAAATTAATATTTATTAATTTAAAGAGTGTTTCAACACCGAAAAATTTGTTCGGGAATAAAATCTCAAAGAATTTGGATGAACCCACTTGTGGAAACGTCATTCATGAACTTGAGGTCATGATTAATGATCTCGATTACCACAATAAAATGGACGTTAATAACCTATTGGATGAGTGAAAATGATACATTTTTAGAGGTCCAGAGCTTAGAACAAATTGTGAATATCATTGAAAAAATAATGTCGATGATAAAGTTAAAGATGATACAATATCTTTGGATCTAGTTACACGTAAGGAAACACTTATCGCATTTAGAACTCTTCACAATTTAAGGTGCAATTCAAAAAGATAACATCGAAAATTTTGGATGCAATAAGAAAAGTTAGGGATGGGCTTCAACTAGATTTAAATTTTAACAAAAAAAAAAGAACATCATAGAATCATATTTCACTAAATTGTCTTAGATATATTTATACTTTTAAAAAATTATTACTTTATAATATTAGTTGGACCATATATTTATGTAGGGGTCTTCTAGAAATATTTTATCTTATTATCTTATCGAAATGAGTGATTTTTTCCATTGGCCCAAGTTGAAACTGAAGGAAACTATTATCTTAGAGAGATTATTAATTAACCGAGTATAATTTAGTGAGGTTTTACTATATTTATAAATTGGCTAGAGACTCAATTCGATTAAAACTTTTATCCTAGCTGGAAACCTTACCGTAAAATATAGTTTTTCTAAAGTCTCATAATTTATAATTTCCTCCGATAACTCCGAATATGCATAACTTGGAAGAAAAATAATTGCCTCATTTATTATTTTACTTGATAGAAAAGGTAAATTGTTAATTACCAAGTACATGCGAGTTGCATTAAAGTCTCTACAAGAGACGTAAATATTCCAACACAAATTATTCGTAGAATTAAGAAATAAATAAATTTATAACGTAATATAATATTTTTATGCTTATAAATCATCTCATCACTAAAGATAAATTTTAAAAAATATATTCTTTCCCATATTGACTGAGAAGGAAAATCTACATATAATTAAAACTTAGGAATAAACAAGATGATGTAACATCTTTGTGTACGATCAACATTAATATTTTTTTCTTTTTCGTCAATTTCTTTTAGCTTTTTATCTAATTTTTCTGATTAAAAATTAAATAATTATATTCATGGTATAATTTAAAGACACGTGTATGACTCCAAAATATTTTTGTGGCTGTGATGAAACAAGTACAAAAACTAAACCACAAGGAATATGTAGTCTTAGGTTGGTGAAGCCTATAAATAAGTAACCATAATTTATATTATTTTCATCGCTACAAGCTTTTTAAGAAAAGAAAAAAAAATAGTAATAATAATTATAAAGATGGAAGTTATGCAAGTACTTCATATGAATAATGGAGAAGGAGAAACTAGCTATGCTAAAAACTCCAATATTCAGGTTAATCATAATTTCATATATATTATAGTTGAAATATTTATTTATTTACTTCATTATTTAGTTTATGTATCAATTTTTTTAGCAAACATAATGTTGTTTCTCTAAATAAATATTTGCATGCATGAGTGTGGCCAATTGAAAATTACACTAAAAGACTCTAAAGCCCAACCAGCTTGGCCTACTTTCTAAGCTAATATAATATTAGTATACTATATTCTTTTTGTCTCTAGAGTTTTTAAGATTGACTTGAAAGTTTGAAACAAAAAAAATCAGTTTTTTCCTCATGAAAATGATAAAGAAGTTTTTAATTTATTAATTCTTCACATAAATCGAGGAACTTCGATGATTTTTGAAGTGCAAAATGTATTTGAAGAATATAAATTAAAAAAAAGATGGAAATATTTTATCAAAGAACACGTCCAGTCGAGTAGAATTATCTAAAGTCAGAATATATCAATCGAGTAACTACATTTTTTAATGTTACATATTTGATTTTGTAGAGAAAGATAATATCAGTGACGAATTCAAGACTTAAGGAAGCAATATTAAACATTATGTGCAACAACAACAACAAAAATGTGCCGGAGAGCATTGGTGTTGCGGATTTGGGTTGTTCTTCTGGACCGAACACATTGATGGTTGTCTCTGAGATTATAAATATCATAGATGAAACATCGCGAAAATCGGGCATATCCTTCCCGGAGTTGAGAATTTCTCTTAATGATCTTCCTGGCAATGATTTCAATGACATATTTAGGTCATTGCCATCATTTTTTCATAAAGTTAAAGAAGAAAAAGGTGCAGAAAATTGCTATGTTGTTGGTGTTCCTGGTTCATTTTATGGAAGGCTTTTTCCACAAAAGAGCATGCATTTTGTTCACTCTTCATCTAGTCTACATTGGCTCTCTCAGGTCAGTGTGACCAATTTAGTCAACCTAATTTTTCTTAAATATTTTGAATTATTAACTATCGGCAATGACTTATAAGTAGTACTTTCTTTATGTAGTTTTCAATGATGTGTACGCAGATTATATTTGAAGACTTGAAGAATCTATGTCTAAATTATCAAAATCGAGAATTAAGTAATTTAACCCACCGTTCTCTAGCTTTTACCATACAAGAGCTAATTTACTATACCTATGTCCAAATAATTCGGAATTTTTTAGTTAGGGTGTGTTTGGTAGGAAGGAAAATGTTTTCTACGGAAAACGAGTTTCTAGTTGAAAAACAAGTGAGTTTCTTGCTTATTTTCTAGTGTAAGATAAGTAAGCAAGAAAATATTCGTATTTATATGTTATCTAGCAAAATACAATAAAGGTAGGATGAGAGAGGGGAGGATTGGGGGATTGGATGGCTCCAGAGACAATAAACTTGAAATGTCGTTTATGCAACATATTTTTCCTACTTTCATTAGGGAAGTCATTTTCCTTATTTTTAAGAAATTTATTTACTAAAAAAAAATGTTTTCCAACCATATATAAAAAAATTGAAAAATATTCTCCTACGTACCAAACACACCCAAAGTATCCACTCATTTAATTTTCGAAAACAAAATATGGGGAATTAGTTGACCATCAATTATCAGATTAGATATAATTAAAACGACTAAGATTGTTAACTACCAATTTGTTATAGGTCTGTTCTTGATTGAAAAAGTTGTCTCTAATGTATTATTAAATGCTTTCATGTGAAGTTTACGAAATAACTATAATTAATTAGCACCACAAAATTAAAGGAATTGACTCCACTAGATATATCTAAACTACCACTTTGATGGAACCAGTTAACCAATAAATCTCACTTATTTGAATCTTTTACGTTATTTGAATCTTTTACGTTACAAAAATGTGAAACACGATATTTAAAATTTTATCTAATAAAATTAAGATGATATATCTATCGGTGGCGGAGGCAGATACAAGTCAGAATGTCAATTAGACACTCTTCGTCAGAAAAAAATATTTTATTTATAAGTAAAAAATATACGAAGTGATTAAATAATATATTTTGAACACATTTGATATAACATGTTATTGTAGCCCAGCGGTTTCAGATGCTTTTTAATGGGTTTTAGACACCATGAATGAGCCAGCGCTCGCGTGTTTGAATCTCACTAGCAACATTTTTTTCTGAACACCCTTCGTGAAATTCCTGACTTCCCATCGATATCTACCCATCTAAAATATGTTAAATCAGTTCATATGCGATTTGAGTTACCTTTCAACTATGTCATTTTCATATGGTTCACTTGAATTAATATTCAAATAATTCCACTGCAGGTTCCACTTGGTTTGGGTACTAATAATGCAATGTCATCCCTAAACAAAGGGAAATTATACATATCACATACTAGTCCAAGTGATGTCATCAATGCATACGTGTCACAATTTCAGAACGATTTCTCCACATTTCTCCGATCACGTTCGCCGGAAATAGTCCCCGGCGGGAGGATGTTGTTGTCACTAATGGGGAGGAGCTCTATTGATCCCACCATTGAAGATGGTTGTTACTACCAATGGGAGCTTCTTGCAAATGCGCTCTATAATTTGGTCTCAAAGGTAAATTACTTTTTAGAACTTATCTTAAAATGAAATAATTTTTTTTTAATATATTAGACTAATAAAGTAAACAGAAGGAATAAGTCGAAATTAAATATTCAATATGATTATCTTTATCCGTTTATTTTTTAGCGTTCAAATTAGTGTCGACTTCGTTCCGACATTTTTTAGAGATCGTGTAGTTTATTTTTTGTGGAGATGTATATATGCTCGTAAAATTAAATAGAAAGAATATTTTTTTAAAAAATTTAATTTTTTTATGTGATAATAATAGTAACTGGGATGAGCTTAAGCATAGCAATATAAATAATGAAAAAATCAGAAGTATTCATTATATAATTGTTGCGTAATATCAGAGTATTCTTGGATAACGAGATTTGAATATATATCTTGTTATCTAGAATTGAGATAAGATAAGTTACAATAGTGTATGTATCCATTTTTGAATAGTATATTTATTAGAGTCATCCGAGTTTTGACTCTTACCATCCTTATATTTGTTGATAGTAGCTCTAAAAAGCTCATACTCTTTTTGAAGAGAGTGAAGTTTCCATTCTAATATCTTGAGTACTTGTGCTGATAAGATAACATATAGTTATAAATTTTGAAAATATATATCTTTTGTCCCTGAAAATATTAAATGTTTACTTGGGGACCAAATTAATGAAATATTTATTCATACATTTTTTTTTAATGCAGGGTCAAGTAGAAGAGGAGAAAATAGACTCATTCAATGCACCATACTATGCACCATGTCCTGAAGAAGTGAAAATTGCTGTAGAAAATGAAGGGTCATTTATGATTGATCGTATCGAGACTTTTGAGATTGAGTGGGACGCAAGAGTTTCTTCAAATTCATCGGACGATAAAATATTACTATCAAGGGGTCAACAAGTTGCTAAAACAATTAGGGCTGTGGTTGAATCAATGGTGGAAAATCATTTTGGAAATGAAATTATGGATGATTTGTTTAGTGTATATGGTGATCTTGTGGATGATTACATTTACAGGAAGAAAGCTGTTTATGTTAATTTGGTTGTTTCTCTCAAACGCAAGGAATGATTTTATATATGTTCAAATTAATTAGAAGACTAAGCAATATTATATTTATAAACCCCACATGTTAATAAGGGGTTGGATCAGTACCCTTCTCTGGACCGACATGCATATAGCGGGAGCTTTAATGTACCAGGTTATCCTTTTTTATATATATATTTAAGTTGAATTAATACATGTCAACTACTTATTGTAATATTTGTGTCTTAATTAATGAAATCATTTTTGGAAATGTTAACACTAGCAATATAATGTTGTTTATTTTTATTGGGCTTACTTATTTAAGTTCATGAGAACCCAAATAAAAAGAATTTGAAAACAAATAATCTATAATATGGTTAAAGTAAAGATGGATTGAAAATAAAATGTGGATTATATCCTTTCATCGAATATATTGGCTGATTTAAAAGTCAAATTGTTTTGACATGATGTATTATATTTGGATGTGATGTGTCTTCCAATTTGTGGTTCTTAATTAACTCATCTTTTATTCTAAGATATTTGATACGTAAAAAATATTTGATACATCATGTCTGAATCAACTTGAGAATATAGTATCTCAAAAACGAAAATAAAAAATATAAATTAACGTACATATTGATGGGGAAGTATGAATGAAACATGTTGTTGGAACTTGGAAGCACCTCATTTTTAAGCAAAGGAGTGATTTAACATGACATAAGAATATAATTTTAACATAAAATACTTAGGAATATTATTATTTTTGATAGACTTACAAAACTCGATTACATGCTATGGATGTCAAAAAACATTTGGATCTTTTCACCAAAAGATAATATATCATTTGCATAAGAATATTCTTTATATAATGGAAGTGTCAATTATTAGCTCGCAGCTGTTATTCCTAGTTGTAGAAAACAAACATATTTGGCCCAATTAAACTTACCCCAAAGATAATATATACTTTTAATTTATTTGTCTGAGTTTAAGTTGGGACGAAATTTAGAGAGTAAAAGAAATCTTTTTGAATGCTATGGCTTTAAATTAAAGATATATTAAATAAATTAACTCAAATACTTTTTAATCTCGTGATCTTAAACATGTCATTTTAGAAACTTAAAATTTAAAAATTACCAAAAATAAATAAATATTCTTTTTAAAATTAAGAGAATAAATATTTGGGTGTGACGTGCTTCCAACTTGTGCTTCATGAATTAATACTATTTTCTTTTTGAAAAAGTAACTTAAGAACGTTTCATATTAAACGTAAAAATATATAGAATAACTGAAATTAACGTGTGTATTGTTATTTTCTGAATAATTGAAATAACCGTGGATATTGGTTAATGAAAATTAACGTGATTATATTGATAGTCGCCACATCTAGCATAATAATATCATTTTGTGATTGATATGTAAATAAAAAAAATATTTATATAAAATATAGATAAATATTATAAGATTGTGACGAGTCAAAGTAGCCACACATTAGCTAGTTAGGCTAAGGAGTGATTTGATATAATATTTGACTTTAATTTTAACTAATAATTAGACATTTAAGAAAACTTTATTGATCCATCTCTAATATTCTATAGAACTAGTATCCCCACATTACTAGGCAGGTCCCTACGTACTTGTAATATATGCATGAATTTCGAAATTAAAAGTTTTTAATTTGAACTCCACATTTTACGGTATATTTTGTGTGGAGGAAATACTATTTTTTTTATAAAAAAATATAAGTGAGATTTTTAATTAATATTTAGTGTTCGATAAAAAAGCAAAAAAATAATATTATTCCTTCAATATTTATATGTAATTTAACGTAATGCTATAAGATGAATGTGAAGATGAAGAAAATATTATTATCAAGGGGTCAACAAGTGGCTAAAACAATTACAGGTTGTTTGGTAGTTGGTTAGAATTATGTAGTTATAGTAATGTAGGAATTAGTTATGAGTGAATCTATGTATTATTTCACCTTCTATCTCGCATAAAATAATACATGAATTCTCTCATAATTTATGCAGTGGGTTTCTGAAATATCAACCAAACATTCTATAAGTTATACGAAAATTAATACATATATAAATAGCTTGTTTCTTATCCAGCTATCAAACGACCCCTTAGAACTCTGGTTGCATCAATGGTTGGAAGCTCATTTTGGAAATGAAATTATGGATGATTTATTTAGTGTGCATATTGATTCTAAATCCAACAAATCAAATGAAATATGATAAAATTTTAAACATTAATTCATAAAATTCAAAATCTAAATCATCATTTTATAATGTAACTTAGGTAAGCAATAAGTTAGTGGATGAATTAGTTGGCTAAATAGGGATATTTTGAATAACAAAAAAATCTGTCGTATCAAAGAGCACTTAAAAATCCCTTAAGTGGAAACATCCATTTACACATTTCATAATTACTTCTCCACTAAATTAAAAAAATGAACGACTCAATTTGATTTTTAAAATTTTTGGGACCTTTAATTTCTCTACAAATAGAATTAATTAACTAAGGTATCAACAATAATCTTTTGGTAATTAGGACTAAATAATTCTATAGGAGTAAAAATGTTTTCTTGGTTTTGGTACATATTTCCCTGTTTGGGATTATTATTATTACAAATCTTATGGCATAATAATACTGGAAAAACTCCGGCGAAAAAGATTCCGGCAGGCAACCGGGAAATACCGGTCATCGGAGAAACCATCCAGTTCATGGCTGCCATCAATAGCAACAAAGGCTTCTATGATTTTATCAAAATTCGACGACTTAAGTAAGACTAAAGATCCTTTTTAAGTTTGGAATTTTATAATTATGTCATATATGTTGAAAATAGGATAACATAATGTGCGTGTGTGGTATTATAAAAGTTTAATATTTGTATTTTGTTCTAGCAATAATGGATACTTGTTTCGAGTATCGATCAATTAAGTATGTCTCAATTTCAAATTAGTTCAGGAAATTGAAACCTCAATTAGTTGGCGTGTCTTTTTTTTTTTTTTGGGAAAAACTACGTAATTAGACATACTTCACTATCATATATATTATTATTATCTATACTTTCATAATATCATGTATCTTACCATTAATTAAGAGTTTCCTACTATATATTGAGGAAGATACACTTAGATACATGTATTTTTGCTACCAGATACACTAAAATAGGGAGAGAAGTGAGCAAGATTTGTTATGTATCCCAGATACATGTGAATCACACTAGATACATATATTTACATGTATATGGTATGATTCGTATATATCTGAGATAGCAGATACATAGGAGAGTGGAGAGTGAGATTGGAGAGAAGCGAGAGAGGCAAGCGGGATTTGTTATGTATCCCAGATAAATGTGAATCCGCTTTGATACTGTGTATCTAGAACAAATTAGACCTAATTTTGGCAACTAGATCCCGAGATACATGTGTCTAGACGTATCTGGACGCATCAAAATTTGATAAGATATATAATATTACAAACTAGAGTATATATAAGTAATTAGCTAGCTCCCAAACTAGTGGAATTTATGTAAGTTTTCTCTTTTTTGTGTGTTGTCGGTAGTATTAGAATTAGGAATGACACTAAAAAGATAAAAATAAAAAAAAAATAAAAAAAAATTGTGTGACTTTCATCTTGTCAAAATGACAAAATTTTAACATTTTGGTGGAATTGGATGGAATGCTTTGTTTATAGGTATGGGAATTGCTTCAAAACGAATATATTTGGGCAAACACATGTATTTATATCGAGCACGGAAGCAGCAAAGAAAATACTAAGTAACGAAGGAGGGAATTTCACTAAGAGATATATAAAGTCAATCGCGAAGCTCGTAGGAGATCAAAGCCTTCTTTGTGCTTCACATCAGCAGCATAAAATTATTCGAAGCCATCTTAGTAGTTTGTTCTCAACAACATCTCTTTCAACAATGGTGAGACAATTTGATGAATTGACAGTTAATAATCTTAGCAACTGGCACAAAAAATCCAGCATTATTATTCTCCATGAAGCTTTAAAGGTTGGTGTCCCTATTGGTCTATTCAATTTTCATTTTAGCCTCACTTTTTTTCAAATTTTATTTAGACTCAACTTGGGACTAATAAGCCCAAAAACTTGATGGTGCTTCCTACCAACCCCCACCCCACACACAAAAAAAAAAAGGGAAAGAAAATGACTATTGTGTTTTGTAATTGGTCCAAGTACAAAAATATCCGATTCTGAGATCACCATTTAAGTCATACCCATAGTGCATAGAAATATATAAATCTATCCATTTTAAAACAATTTCAGATATATGATGTGTGAAGTTTAACATATGATTGAACTTTAGTCATTTTCGCATGGTTTTAGTCATATGTATCTGAATTTTGTCATTTTTGTCAAAATTTGTTCTAAAATAGATAGATATGCAAATTTTTTTAATTTTTTTAAAAGAATGAATACATGTTACTTAGTGATGTCCAAATTAGATACTCGTAAATGTTTTACTTTGTAATTCGCCAATTGTACAAATTTAAATGGCTTGGTCATGACCTGTCTATTAATTTGACCCAATTTTTGACTCGTTTGAGTTTAATCCGACCTATCTATTTGTGAGCTATGTATTTACCATACTTATATAGCATCAATTGGTACAAAGAAGTACCCTATCAGTGACTAACATATAGCAATAGCAATTATAGTACCCTATAAGTGACTAACATATAGCAATAGCAATTACTTTAAATATTTGTATAATTTGATCGGTTCAAAGAATCCACTTCAACGAGTCGTATTTTCATGAGCTATTTTTTTCGTACTTGTAGATTACCCTCGAAGCAATTTGCAAAATGTTAATGAGTTTGGAAGACAAAAAGGAACTAGAAATGTTGCATAAGGATATTGGGCTGATTTATGAAGCAATGTTGTCATTTCCATTAAGACTACCATGGACCAGATTCTACAAAGGCCTACAGGTAAGATTGGCCCATTTATCAAAGCCCATTAAAATTCATAAGCAGGCCCATCTAAAGCCCATTGACATTAATTGCAGGCCAGAAAAAGAATTATGAATTTGCTGGACAAGATATTAGAAGCAAGAAGAAAGTCCAAAGAAAAATATGATGATTTTCTTGATTATCTTTTGATTAAGGATGATCAAATCATACAATTAACAAATGAGCAGATTAAAGATAATATATTAACTATGATTATTGCAGGTTTGTTCTTAATTTAATCTACAATTGAGGTTTTTTCTGTTACTAATTGAAGCCCAAATTGGATTCAATTGGAATATAATTATATAATTCCATTTTTTTATGGCAGGTCAAGACACCACAGCTAGTGCAATTACATGGATGGTTAAATATTTGGATGATAATCCAAAAGCCCTTAAGAACCTTAGGGTAACGAGAAATATTTTCTCCGTCTCAATTTATGTGATATCTTTCAAATTTCAAGATTTAAACGAATCTTTTTTCCATTTACCGTAGTACTCTTTTTATCTGTCTTTTAAATATTGAATTGTCATTTATTATGACTTATAATACTTTTTACATAGTTTCATAATATATAAATTGTTTAAATATATATCCAGTAGTAGCATGTAGGAGCTATAATTTAACCTCTCTATAACAATGTCGTTTGTTTGGATTTTTGTTTCAGTGAATGTTATTATAGAGAACATATAATACATATTGAAAAATCGATTTCAAAGGAAAACTTGTCCCACTAGAGTAAATTGTTATATAGAGGATGGTTGTTATAGAAAAGTTTGACTGTAATATCTTGGACTTGCTAGATTTTCATAAAAGATCCTATGATTTTCTTTTATTATTATTTTTAAAAGTAATTCACAGGCAAAGTTCTAATTATAGAAAGTTGGCTGGAATAGGCTGAACAACAAGCTCTCCAACAGAAGGTTTCTTGTAAAGCATACCTCACATATGAAGATCTGAATTGTATGCCGTATGCATCTAAGGTACATTATTTTATTTAGATATTAGGAACACCCCCCCCCCCCCCGCACACACACACACCACCAAAGAAAAAGGAAGAATTATGTTCGAGACTTAATTTAATATAGTATCAGAGTCAGGTTTTTTGGCGCCCTTGGACTGGGGGAGGTGTGTGTGAGAGAAAATATGCTTCTTGTCCTTGAATATCACGCGCTCTGTACCAGATAGTGGAACCCTGAACATAAATTATACATTGATTATATATGGTTATACATATATGTATATTATTCACCCACCTACTCTTTTTAGTTTAAGCGATGGAATGGATGGCTAAACAACCTTTATGCTAACAGGTTGTAAAGGAATCACTTCGAATGGCTTCAATAGTGCCCTGGTTTCCAAGAATGGCACTTCAAGATTGTGAAATTGAAGGTTTAATTTGACTTCTTTATAAGTAACTATGAGTAATATATTGAATACAAAATTTTAATACTTATAACCCTCTAATTTCTATGTGAATTATAGGATTTACGATCAAAAAGGTTGGAACATTAACGTGGATGCTAAATCAATACATTTTGATCCAATCATATTCCATGATCCACATAAATTCATTCCTTCAAGATTTGATGTGAGTTTCTCAACAAACACATAACATATGTATCTATCTATATAAATTGTTATAAGTTAATCATAGTGAAATAATTATATACATAATCGATATAGTATTTCGAAAAGATTTAATGATTAATCATAAGTAAATTACTATGTCTAAATGTAACATCAGGTGCGAGTAAATTTTTTTATATTGAAGTTGTGATGATCTCATGTTGTTAAAAATGTTCAGGATGATTCAAAACCATACAGTTTCTTAGCATTTGGAATGGGAGGAAGAACATGCCTTGGACTGCATTTGGCTAGAGCCATGATGCTTGTTTTTGTCTATCGTTTGACCACATCCTATAGGTTCGTTGAAAGTATTAGATTCAGATGAAAGCATTGAAAAATGTACAAATGAAACTTGGATCTAATTTTACCTTTTTAATGTATTTTTGTATCAGATGGAAAGTATTGGATTCAGATGAAAGTATTGAAAAATGGACACTATTCTCGAGACTAAAAAGTGGTTGTCCCATACATGTTACGAGTATAGAAGAGGAGAGGGACTCCCCAAATGCATCAAAAACATGAAGCCAAAATATTCACCGTATTGCAATTATTTAGGTATATATTATTTACCAATATTTCATCATATGGATAGATGTAGATTTGTTTTTTGTTTTTTGTTTATTTAGATGAATTGTATATAGCTGTTATATTGCTTATAAATTTTTAAGTTAAAAACATTTTTACCCCAGCTTAGTAATTATTCTATCCTATGCTTCTATATTTCGATTTTTTTCTTGTTTACTAGAAGAATAGGTCTTACAATGCGTAAATTCAGAATTAATCGGAGCTCAGTCGAATATTGAACAGGAAATGAACTATGTACTATTGTACTAGTGGGCAAGTTCCCTTTTAATCAACTATTTCCCAATTCCAAGTTCCAACTCAAATGTGTGACATCAAAGAAAACTACAAGGAAAGCTGCTGGCATCCATGAATTTTTGTATTTGGCTTCCTCTAACCTTAACATCACAAGGCAATTGACATCTTTTTATAGGATGTAATATATATAAACTAATCTATATTCGTATCAAAATAAGTGTTATTTTAGCAAAAACTATATTCATAAATAAATCAATAAATGTCTCTTGAAAATTGAACACTATTAAGAAGATATGAAGTATAGTATAAAGTTATAGTTGAAAAAACATACTAATTTTGTTTTTAATTATTTCTAAGGTAACACTTATTTTGGGATAACTTTTTTTTTGTTGAAGTGACAATTATTTTGAGACGGTGGGAGTATCATACAAAAAGATTTAATGTAATGATGCAAGCTAAACCTATAATTGGTTCAACAAATTCATGCAATTATATTTATGTAAGGGGTTTTGGAATCATTTCAACCTATATTTAGAAGCACCCCCATATATATAGATGATCAGTTGAGATTATAATTTATTAGGGTTAAATAAATCTTAATTACTATACTACTTAATTAATTAAGATAGAGCTACATATAGCCTTTGCTAAATGGAGAAGTAGATAGCCTTTTATTTACTGAGATTAGAGTTTGTCAATCACATGCCTAACTGATAGGATTCTTAATATATTTAGTTTTCAGTCATCTAGTTAAATGAATTTTCACACGTCTAAATGTTTAAATTTTGGTGCACAAAACATATTGCATTCACTCAGGGTCCAGGCAAGGACTGCACCCCAAGGGCCAATGGTGTGATATAGACGGGTTTGTCTTAATGCAAACATTAGTGTCTGCTTATACACCTATTATATAGTGATATACGTTGAATATACACTACATATTTGTAAAACAAAACCAAGAGATTAGTACTCTTATTTTTTGTGATGGCTTTAATTTGTTAGGCTGCTGTATAATATTAAAAAAAAATATCTTTGAACGTAGTCATACAAATTACTATAATTATAACCTTGTGTTTGTTAAAATTTGTGTCAAGTCATTAAGTAATTTTGGTTTTATATTGTTTGGAAAGGCTCACATACTCTCATTCATATTGAACTTCTTTTTTTCAGTGACATTCTATCACAAAATCCATTGACAACTAGTACCACATAGACTAATTAAATTGGCATAATATATAAATATGCCCTTTAACTTGGCCTCATTTCACATTTACGTCCTTCAACTTTGGGTGTGCACAAGCAGACACTCAAACTTGTATAAAATTGTACAAATAGACACACACATCCTACGTGGCATCCTACATGGCAATTTGCATCCTACGTGGTGTCCTACGTGTTTTATGCCAAATAGGACTCATGTGTCTACTTATTCAGCTTTATACAAGTTTGAGTGTCTACTTGTGCAGATCAAAAGTTGAACGGATAAATATAAAATGAGGTGAAGTTAAAGGGTACATTTATGTATTATGCCAATTAAATTTATCGTTTAATTCGTAATAATGCATAATGTGGTTGTTTCCATAGTTTTGTCCTCCTTGTACATGCATGATTCGCAACATCAAGGTCTAAGCTAAATCGAGCAAATTCAGTTCACGATATTATAATCTACTAATGTCCAAATTCTAGCAAAAGTGCAATTTGCAAAAGCCCAAGTCACAACTCACAAGTAAAACTGTGTAGAACAAGAATGACCAGAAATTAAGGACTCATTTGCCAATAATGAGCCTCAAGTACTGATGTTATGAAGATGACAAATGACCTGTTCTTGTTTAGCCATGTCCTCACACAGACAAAATAATATATTTTTTTCTATCATTTTTAGGATATATAAATAAATATATTGCTATATATAGTGCATTCATGCACAGACAACAACTTGTTTACAGATAAGCCCTCATCTAAAGGCAATTGGACAAACGACACTACAATTTATTTTGACTAATTTAATAAATTTTAGTAATAAGTAGTATTCTCTTTTGCACGCACAATATTTTCGTACAACATAACGTAATCGACCTAACTTATTTGAGAGTGAGACATAGTTATTATTGTATAACATAGGGATCTAATATTTTTCGTTAGACGGTTAAAGAATGTTTACTCCATTAATTGTAATTGTATTCATCATTGGTGTTGTTTGATTTAAAATTAATTTGGGACCTACTAACTCATTGACAGATCGAGCCAATGCCCTTTAAAACCACCAACATACCAGAATGGGATTAAACCATATAATTGGTTCAATCATTACATGCTATAATTGAGCAATCCAGCAATCAACATATCCAATATAACCATATGGTCCATTTTATATCCATTTTGATAATAAATTTCATCTTTTTTATTTATTGGTGTAAGAAAATTATCTTCTTTCAAGTTTGTGTTGTTTTAAAGTTAAAATTGTCTCTTTAAGGTATACGATGCTCAATATGATCTACAGATTCATAAATGAATGTAGTTGCATGCATCTCGAATTTAAATTTTAGATATATTTTTTATGTTTTTTTAAACGATGATCAACTACTTACTATGTAACATGTTTTTAAGTAAAATCAGAAGTCTATTTTTTTTGGAATGCATTTGGAGAATATAAATGACTAGCCTAATTTCTACCTTTTTCACAATTATAAATCATGAAATTGAATTCGAATTTATATCCATAATAATTGAGTTAGGTTTTCACATATGGGAATCATTTTTACTTTTTATTTGATGGAACCACCATCACTTAATTCTTTCCTTTGATGCTAAGTAATTAATATGATATAACTAGTTTATGTCCCTTTCACATACTCTCATATATGTATGTGTGGCAATTTTTAAACCAACGACTTTGTACAATATGGTACATGAAGTGCCTCTAATAATAAAAGGAATATATTCCACTTATTAAAAAATAGAAGCATCTTTTTATTTTTCTCAGCAATTAGGTTGTTCGTCAATTTAAGTGGTTCTTTTAATTAGGTTTAAAACGTTGTGAGGAGCTAATCCTAATACTTTTCACTCTTTCAACTTTAAATTATATGCATCTGGTTTAATTTGTTGTAAAAAAAATTATTGCTTTTTTTATATTTAAAAAATATTTGATTTTTAAATTTTTATTTTTGAGAGGATTTATAGATATATAAATAAAAGATGTATTTAAATTATTAATTTCAAAGTTCTTATTTTTTTTATATAAATTCCAACATAATTCAATGTCATATAATATAAATTAAGACGACAGGATTAATGTTTGATTGTTTCCTCAAGAATGTTGTTAACCATTATTTTCGCGTAGAGTTATGATTTTTGATCTCACAATAGTCTAATTTAAATCATCATATTTATTTGTACAATATATTTTTTATTTTGAACATCATCGATATAAAATTTAAATAAACATATTTATTGAATCATTAGAGAGGGAACATGAGTTATAAACGTTTTAGGGTTTTAAACTATCAAGAGATATGGTCTTAATCAATTAAAGAATCACATAATTAAACACGAACACTGATTAATTGATTAATTAATCTCTCAAAGAACGAAATTGAACAAAAAAAAAAAACTAAAGCATGGTCATCAAACACACTGCATTAAATTATACGTTCAACCTAATTAAACAAAGTAATTAATTTCATAATTGAAAATTGAAAAGTACCAAGACTAAGCAGGTGGAAACAAAAGTGGGGACGGTATTTTATTTCTAATTATGAACTTTTGTTGCAATTTAGGTAGCAACATATACTAAACTTCCCATTATATTATAGTCATGATGTTGACTAACCTCCTAAAATTAGCACTTTTCATTTTTTATATAAACTTTGCTTTTTCATCTTAATGTCTAGTACATGTCTCGAATCTCGATAAAATCTAAATTAGCTAACGTATATTGCATGGCTCATTTTGGAAACACGCTCCCAATATTATTTTAAAAAAATTCTCGAGATTTAAACATAAAACATCTTATATAGGTTAGGGGGATCCTCAACCGTCCTTTAGTTGAGCCGAGCTAGGGTCTTTTGGAAATATCTGATCTCCAACTCCATGAAATAGGGATCAATTCTGTGAATACTCTATTCTCTCAAATTCACCTATGAAATTTCACCGAAGATATATTATTAGATTTTAAAGTCTAAACCAACACATACCATAACCCATGATAATTTTATCCATTTTTTTCTTCAATATTGGCACTTTAGATTAGATACTTTTTTGTGTGTGTAACATTAGATTAGATACGCTATAATCTAATGTCTTCTTATTTTATTTTTGTTTATATAAGATACTTTCTTTTCATAAAAATATTGAAAGAAGCAACAAAAAAAAATTTAAAAAAATGATGTAATCAAAGGTTGTGTTAGATTTGTTTTATGGGCCAAACATTAAAAACGACGATTGTAGCCAGCTAGCAGTTTAGTGAAATGAAATAACAAACCAAAATAAAGGGAAATATTTATTTTATGTTAATAGACAGTGACATTTCCAAAATATTATCCTTAATTAATTAAATGTTCATATAGTGTACATTATTTTATAGAGTGCTAATTTTCTTTATTGACCCTTTCAAGTGTCGGCAGTTTTTTTCTTCTTTTCTTTTTTGGCCTACATAAATAATATTATTTTTTAAAAATAATCTAATCTGTAAATAAGAAATGATTATTATAAC